CGGTGGTTAGTGCAGGTTGATCACCACATTGGTTAGTGCAGGTTGGTCACCACGTGGGTTAGTGTAGGTTGGTCACCACATTGGTTAGTGCAGCTTGGTCACCACATTGGTTAGTGTAGGTTGGTCACCACATTGGTTAGTGTAGGTTGGTCACCACATTGGTTAGTGTAGGTTGGTCACCATATTGGTTAGTGTAGGTTGGTCACCACATTGGTTAGTGCAGCTTGATCACCATATTGGTTAGTGTAGGTTGGTCACCACGTTGGTTAGTGTAGGTTGGTCACCACATTGGTTAGTGTAGGTTGGTCACCACATTGGTTAGTGTAGCTTGGTCACCACATTGGTTAGTGTAGGTTGGTCACCACATTGGTTAGTGTAGCTTGGTCACCACGTTGGTTAGTGCAGGTTGGTCACCACGTGGGTTAGTGCAGGTTGGTCACCACGTGGGTTAGTGCAGGTTGGTCACCACATTGGTTAGTGTAGCTTGGTCACCACGTTGGTTAGTGCAGGTTGGTCACCACGTGGGTTAGTGCAGGTTGGTCACCACGTGGGTTAGTGCAGGTTGGTCACCACATTGGTTTGTGCAGCCTGGTCACCATATTGGTTAGTGCAGCTTGGTCACCACGTTGGTTAGTGTAGGTTGGTCACCACGTTGGTTAGTTTAGGTTGGTCACCACGTTGATTAGTGCAGGCTGGTCACCACATTGGTTAGTGCAGGTTGGTCACCACGTTGGTTAGTACACCCTTTATAGCTCACCAGAAAAGTTAGTGACAAGAATACAACAAAGATCCCCCGTATAGCCTAAACAGACTAGGAGCAAGCGATGTTAGCGATCACTCATGAAGGCCGTAATGGCACACGAGGGAGTGGATGTCCAGCACCACGCCAGGCCGCCTTTGTCTCCCTAGTGGCGATGTTTACACACCGCACCAGGTACTCATTTGAGGCTGAGTCGACCTACGGGAGGCCCGGATACGGTTCAGATATTCGTTATTGGTGTTGGCCGTGAGCGGGAATCGAACTTGGGCCACGGGATTCATAGCGCAGCGTGCTAATCACTTCACTTCAAAGTTCGTGAACCGTAAATAAATTGCACGCAACTCTACGATTTTGAAGCATCTCTGCAAGTCTTTTTTGCAAGTCTTTTGCAGAGATTAATTGACCAGAATTGCTCTTTGTTGAGTTATTGCAAGATGAATGCAGAAATCAAGCATGCTGATATTAAAGGTTAACATTAGTATTAATAAAAAAAAGTTATCTACAAGGCGTGCATGGTGGCTTTGTTACAAAGGATAATTGAATCGATTGGCGGTGACCCAGGTCATCATCGTGACCCGGGGGTGCCAAAACCTCCGAAACCAGACGACCGATGAAGACGGGAGATGTCACTGAGCCCGATACGCACGCCAAATATGGAAATAAAAAAACAAACGCAAAACACCCATAAAAAAGGGGGGCTGCTGAAGTATTTGTGCGTGGCAACGGCTGTTTATTGCTTGTTGTGAAAGTACATCAGGATGCTGGTCTGGTCATTCCCCAGCACGTTCTGCTTCTTACGGGGGCGGCCACCCTCCTTGTCTTTGGGAGCGAGACCACTTGGAGGCAATTGGGGCACCAGGTGCTCATCTTGGTACGGGCGGCGGTCACGGTCGTGCTGGCGGGATCGACATCGTCGTCATCATCATCGCTCCCAGCGTCGCCCTCCGGCAGGACAGGGTGGTGGTACCAGCGATGCTCCCAGAAAAAAACAAACCTTAAACTATGCCCGGCCCACCAATATTTTGCGGTGACCCGGGCTACCGCCAATCGATTCAATTATAGCTGAGCGCACAAGAGCCGTACAAGCTAAACGCAGTTCAGATTCGTCATCCAATCGACAAACGTGTGCAATGTTCATCATCAGATTCACAAATTACAAGTACTGTACTGTAAATGAAGCATATTGATTGATTTGGAAATGACTTGACCATGAACAACCCACACAGGGCCTGGAGTCAACTCCCATTATAATTTGGCAATAAGAATGACCGTGATGGAAGAATGTAGGCAGATTTATAAATACAGAAATATATTACAATTTGCAAAGCTTTACCATACTCTATAGAGTGTATATCACAATCCATTACGCGGAGAGTAAAACAATATTTAAATTCAGTTACAGACTGAATTTCAGTATGAATGTAACTAGTATACATATTTTACTGGCATTGTTAATGTGCAGTTGCTTGCTTTAAGTATTGCTGATGCTTAAATTTCACCTAATAATACACTTACAAATGACGACCAATGATTCCAATGCTTTTCTCCCTGCTCTACATCCGATTTAGGGCTCAGCTTAACCAAATACCTTAACTACAGTATATTACTGCAGTACCCAAGTACTTTGTAACTTTAACCCCATTCAACATTTTCCAGTGTTCCTTTATTTTCTTTACTCTCCACGCTGTGCTATTTTTTTGGGCTCTGATTACCTTCGAAAATACTTTGTCTCACCTAGTCTTACATAAATGTGTCTATGTACATGTACACTGTATATCTATTCATCTTTAAACACTTCTCGTGACGCAGTAGATTTACCCAGAGAATCCTATTGAGTCTGAAGACTCTTCTTTCTCCGTTTTTGCAGTAGGCGGCGATGATTGCTCTGCGTAAAACCCCAAAATGCAGTGATTTGTAAGTTTAAAAAAAAACCCATCCAGCATTGGGATGTTGGCCAATACCGGTTACACTGTTTTTTTTTTTGTACTCTTGTGGGGTAAACGGTGAACCCGGAGAAAATCAGAACAGGATGAGAAGACACAAACTAGCTTCAGGAATAGAATCTACGACTTGAAGTGTTTAACCACAGCGAGCGCCACACTGCTCTATTAAATGAATTCATCGGAGAGAGAAAAACACATCGTAAACATGTTTACATCCTTGCAAGTAGAATACTTTTTTTTGGTACGACTTATACACTTTATATCGATTTTAACAATGCCATTCTCTAAACGGCATTTAGTCGGATAAACGTCTATGACGAAATGTCCTGGAATGTGCCCAATCTCATCAGATTAGCACGGTTGGCTACGTACGGTGCGAAAGAAGTTCAGCATACATACATATATCAGAAGCCAAACAAGAGATTATTAGCCTGCATTGTGTTTTGATTGCCTACAGGACCACCATGCACAAACATGCTCTTTGGCAGTGGGATTATATAAGGTGGTGGGGAAAGAAAGGACAATACAATACAGCTAAATCCATTGTTGTGCTACACCCCACACACAAGTACGTTCCCTGCCTTCACCAACCCGTGCCAACGAGCATGATGCAGTATGGTCAAAAACCCCTACAACTACCACGCTACGGGGAGGATCTCATCAAGCAGTGGATTAACAACAGGGCCACACATGTACATTTAGATAAACAAAACATGAATTGGGTTCGTTAACGTTCAGTGAAGCGGTGGCTTATAGTCGTTAGCTTTAGTGGTTATCCGCAACCTTGCGCTTTGAAATCGGCGACCCGAGTTTGGATTCCCGACCACGAGCAACATCCGGAGTGATATCTGAACCGGTTTTTGGCCCACTCTTCACGAAGCGGCACTGACCAGCTGGTGAAGTTTGCTCAAACCGAACGAATCCCATTAACGCCAGTGTGGAGGCCTTCATCCAGCTAGTGGATTGATAAACGGGTGCAAATTGTATGCTGTAATTGTGCATTTGCTTGTTCAATCCACTGCTGATGAGTAAACAAATGTTGAAACCGATCCAGCGTTTGCTGGTATTGAACCAATGCGGGTGAAGTTATTCTCTCCCAGAAGTCCATCTACCGGCTGATGGGATGTGTAAACATTAATTTATATGTCTATGTTAATGTGGAGGGACAGATATAGGAAGTGAATTGTTTCCTTATTAACATTGCTCCTGCTCATACTATCCACACCGCAGATTTTTGTTATAGTAAATGTTCTTGGTGCAGTGGTTTAGCAGGAGCCGATTGCAATGGGGAAGGTTGCAAATAAAAATCCTGTTTGTGGGTTAACTCTGCCCATCATCCATCCGAGGTTGATACAATTGGGTACCACTTTGTGGGGAAGTCACCAGTGGTTCTCCGATGGATGTAGTGTCACCCTCGCCATATGAATATGGGATTTCCGCCAATGGTTCAGGGCCCGTAATTACAGGAGCGAGATGAGCACAGCAATTGACGCAAAATGTTTTGAGCAAGATCTCACTTTGACATTTGTTGAGCAGATTCGACTTAACGGGGATCATTGCAACAACTCAAAATCTGTTTCACGTCCGCTGTAGAAACGTGCTCCTGCGTAAGCGCGCAATTCCGTGTGTTGTTGTTGTCGGAATATTCGGGTTGTTTTAAAAATCACAAGCCGGAGAATCGGTAAGTTTTCAAAATGAGTTTACCAGTTCCGAAAGGTCAGGAACCGGTCACCGCTTCCAGCGGGGAATGTCTGTAACGAATGCACTGATTTTTGCACGGCGGACCGAGATGACATGTTGCCCTCTATACATATACTGGACTGTATTGCTGTTGTAGAAAGCTTGCACACGCGTGTCCTAAGTTCTTAACTTTTTACTTTGATAAAATCTCAATAACTGTTATTTATACTTATTTGTCATTACGAGACCATCCCGAGTGTATTCGCCTCCTTAAACTACTTGATTAGTATCGTTCAAATTGAGAAATAAAAAAAACATGGACACTTATAACTGAGAAGTGAGTATATTTTTAACCTTTATTCTTAGTTAAAAGTAACATGTACTGTATTGGATTCTCACATTTCCTCCTTAAGACTCCTCCCTGACCTCGTAACCCCGCCCCCACCCCATAATCGCTCGCCCCCACCCCTCCTTCCCCTCCACCCCCACCCCATCCCCTCCTCAACCCCCCCCCCCCCTTCGACCACCCCCACTCTCCCCCCACCCGCCCAGGCAAATTCCTTCACTGCCACACAACATCCCCCCCACCCCCTCCTTAAGAGACGGCGCCCGCTGATTGGCTGCCGCGCGGGGTCACTGGGTCACGGCCGACTAGTGTCTAGCGCACCCGAGCGACGCGCGCGCTGCATTGTGGTCGCCGCTCAGCTGTTGTCGCCATGTCCAGCGTCCGCCTCGCGTTCCGCCTGCTCTGTGAGTCTCTCACACACACACACACCGCCCTCACCCTGTCTCTTTGCTCGCGTCTCTCTCTCTTTGCAAACACAACCACACGCTCGGTTATTAGCGTCGCTGCCGCCACTGCTGCTGCGGCTGTTGAAGTTCGCTGCTTCCTACGACTTGCCCCGGGGGCCCTAAGGACGGGCGGTGACCTCTGCGTGACGGCACGGAGCCAAGTGGAGGAGGACGAGGACGATGATGATGAGAAGAGATGGGATGATATTGTGTGCTGTTGTTCTGTCGTGGTGTGTCGAGTTATGGCTTCGTTGCGTTGCAGTTAAAATGTCTGCAGTCTACGTGCTAATGCAGGGAAGCTGGTGTCGATGTGTTACCGTATTCTCGAGATTATGACGCACTTACACCCCCCCCCACCACCACCTCTGCAAGTACTTTAAAGCAACGTTGGAATCCGTCTTATAATCCGGTAGGCGTGTTTGTAATTTGCTGATAGAATAACTTCTTCCATTGCCAAATAAAAAAATGCGTCAGATTATTATGGACGAACTCCGACTTGGCTACTTATTTTGTTTGCAAAAGCCTAATTCACATCAGCTGCTCTTTTACGCTTGTGGTTTATTTGAACTTCCCAATTGTCCATGGTACAAAAGACGCACTTTTACTTTGTACTTTAAAGCAAAAGCTGGGGGATCCGTCTTATAATTCGTAGTGTTTTGGGGATGCATCTAATCGGTATGTTTGTGTATGAGATATTTGTATAACTTGATACCGGGCACAAGTTAGGGAGAATACGGTAATTATTTTTTTACAGCTACAACACCGTTTGCTGAATAACAAAGTTACATTGACATTTCAATTTATTACGAATGACACAATTATAATTGACCCCGGGTCTCTGATTTCCAACTGCGGTTAATTTCGTGAGCGCGGCCAGGGTTGTGTGAACCCTGTTGGTATGCGTTGGTGCCAACTTTCGTTTCTAATATTGTGCTGTATCTGTGGCTGGGGAGGGTACCTATTGGTGCGATTTAGTCAAGTCCTATTCATGTTCGTGTTTAGTAAATTAAAAAAAACCTGCACAGTTTAATTGTAGAAAAGGCCAGGGTTGGCTGTTAACCTTTCTGTGGACTTTGCCCTGCCGCTCAATTGCTGAGCTAAATAAGTTGGCCTTTTCTGGTATGGGCTTAAATGCAGCATGGACAACAGCGGTGGTCCTACGGTCGGCCACTGAGCTAGTGTAGACGCCGCGAGTCGACGATTCTAAAGTTAACAAGGCTGACCATCTGTTGTAAATTGTATGTTGAAGGTGGTGTGATGTAATTGACAGTTGGTGCATCTGACAGTAATCTCAGTCAACCCATGGCACATGGGTTTGTTCCGTGACCTGCCATCGGGCCTTCGACACTTCACGTGGCCTCCAAAGTGCACCTAGCATGGCACAAGCGACATTGTGACGTCGCCGCCGCTTAGCGGCTTTTGTTGATATGATTGACAAGACAAGAACGTTGCTTTTATGTAGTACGCCCAATTTCGTATTTTACATGTAATTTCAAGTAACAAAACATTTTAAACGTTTTATTTTTTTAGCATTGCTTGCTTGGAGATGACTGTCCTCGCATCGGTTCTTAACTATTCTCAGTAGAGGCACACTATTGATGTGTGCCTTTACTGAGACATTGAATGGAATTGAGTCATCACACCAGCAGTGCATATTGTATGATGTGTGCCTCTACTGATATATTAATCAATGTGGTGGTGACATGTTATGCCATGCTTTTTTATTAGCACTGCAAAGCGTGTTACCTTGATGGAGTAAATTTCCATTCTGCCAATGCACATGCCATTTGGTGATACTGTTAAGTAAAACATGTGTTATGTGTCCATTGGTGTTGGACCAGAAGACGCCAAAAGGCATACAACTCAAAAACATCGCACTATCAGAGTATTGAGGGCTCGGGGTGAGCATTTACATTATGAGACCTCCTTTGCCAGAAACAAGATATAGGAATAGGTTTTACCCTTTTAACTGGCACAAAAACTGACACCTTTATTCAAGGCATCATGTTTGCAATAACCACAACACAAGCAGCTCGGGTGTGAACCAATCAAATTCAAGGACAGTGCATATTATTATCAGAGTTGTCTTTTTTGTTTGCATTTTGACTGCTTGTGTTGTGGTTATTGCAAACATGATGCCTTGAATAAAGGTGTCAGTTTTTGTGCCAGTTAAAAGGGTAAAACCTATTCCTATATCTTGTTTCTGGCAAAGGAGGTCTCATAATGTAAATGCTCACCCCGAGCCCTCAATACTCTGATAGTGCGCTGTTTTTGAGTTGTACGCCTTTTGGCGTCTTCTGGTCCAACACCAATGGAGACTAGGCTCTAAGAAAAGCTGTCTCGGGTGTGGACCAATCAAATTCAAGGACAGTGCATATTATTATCAGAGTTGTCTTTTTTGTTTCCATTTTGACTGCTTGTGTTGTGGTTATTGCAAACATGATGCCTTGAATAAAGGTGTCAGTTTTTGTGCCAGTTAAAAGGGTAAAACCTATTCCTATGTGTTATGTGGTTCACTTTTAAGGTAAGGGTTTAATGTTATTCAAGGTGAGATTACACCATGCACTGGAAAGTTTTGAGCCAGACCGTGTAAATTCCTCTTTACGAGTTGGTACCGCATGTCACCTGCAGCTGAGCGGACTGGAGTGAGATACTGCTACACAGCAACCCGATCAAACCTGTACATCACCAAAGACACCAAGGTCATTTGCCAAGGTTTTACTGGAAAACAGGTACAGGCCTACTGACACACTCCCAGTTGACCACATGTTTCTTGAGTTTATTTAAGTGCAAAGAAGAGTTTATTATGCACAAAAGTGGCAGCTTTATTTTTTAAAAGTATGTTTTACAATATCTATGAGCTCTTAACGACTTAGTTCTGTTTTCACAAAAGTACACTCGTGTATAGTATTGCTTTTGTGATGGTGGCATTATTGGTACAACATAAGCGATACCTCGACTTTTAACACGTGATGTGTCACACTGGTCATCTTGCAGGGTACCTTTCATAGCCAGCAGGCCCTGGAATATGGGGCGAAATTGGTTGGGGGAGTTTCACCAGGAAAAGGTGGGAAAGCCCATTTAGGGCTTCCTGTCTTTAACAGCGTGCAAGAGGTAAGATTTGTTTTCAATCTACAGCTTTAGTTTTGTAAGAAAAAAATTGCATTGCAGTTAGTGACAAATCTCAAGCTGTATGGTGTAATTAAGCATCGTGATGTGTATTGTCATTTCCAGGCCAAAGATAAGACTGGGGCGAATGCAACTGTGATTTATGTCCCACCACCATTTGCCGCGGCTGCCATCCATGAGGCAATTGATGCAGAGATCCCACTGGTGGTGTGCATCACAGAAGGCATACCGCAGCTGGACATGGTGAAGGTTAAGCATCGCCTGCTGAGGCAGAACAAGACACGCCTCATTGGACCCAACTGTCCAGGTGTCATCAATGTAAGCTGGCCTTTCAACCTTTGTGTTTAAAATGTATGCAATAAAGCAAATATAAAGGACATTTATCATTTTTTGACTTTTTATGGAAGCAGGTTGTATTGAATCAATTGCTATTTCTTTCAATAGCATTTTATGCAATTGAAACAAATTTTAACTGACATTTTCAGCCAGAGGAGTGCAAGATTGGTATCATGCCAGGACATATACATAAAAAAGGAAGGATAGGTAAGTCATATTTTCCCAACCATATACTTTGCTTTATTTAAGAACAGTATAGTTAACACTCATGCATATTAATTTTAAATATGTTGCATTAGTTATTGACAGATGAATGTGTTTCAAGACAGTCAATTAAGAGATGTATTCCAATATGTTAAAGTATGTAATTAACTTTGGAAGTTAACTTCTTGAAGGAATTGTGTCAAGATCAGGGACATTGACATACGAAGCTGTACATCAGACAACTCAAGTTGGACTGGGACAGTCCCTCTGTGTGGGTAAGTGTTAATGTGGTTCACGTACATTTTATAAAACAGTATAATCACAAGCTCATATATAGTTGTGTTGTATGAAATAACATAAAATGGCATATCATGTAATTATATTCATGAATTTTAAATTGTTCTTGTATCCTGTAGGAATTGGTGGAGATCCATTTAATGGCACAAACTTCATTGATTGCCTAGAAGTATTTCTGAAGGATCCAAAGACGGAAGGCATCATTTTGATTGGAGAAATTGGTGGGAGTGCAGAAGAGAATGCTGCAGCGTATCTGAAAGAGCACAACACAGTATGTTGACATAAAAACACAATTACTGTATTTTAATGTACTTTTTCATTTTTTTATCATGAAAAGACCACATTTATCACAACTCAAACTAAGCAAAAGCATCACTTGGGAGAATACATAAAATAAATAAGTAAATAATGTCTCTTTATATTGATTCAAGCAACCCTTACAACTTGATGAGATTCTGTGTCAAAACCTGTCCAGAGTGCTTATATTTGAATCAATGCTGCTGAAATTATGCACTTTTAGAAGACCGTGTGGCTGACGAGTTACACTTTGAGTTTTGTTTGGAGAGACAGATATATGAAGTAGCCATTGCTTATTGATATTATTCCCATTGATCAGGTCACTCGCATGCAATATTTGTTTACATTTTATGACACTACGTTACCACCTCCTAAGTGGAAGTGCTTACTTATCCATTGAAACCTTTTAAAATTGTGTACATGATTAAATGAATGGGCATTTTGTCCCTTCCCGAAACGTCACATCACCAGGGTGCCAATGCTAAGCCTGTGGTGTCGTTCATTGCTGGCTTGACGGCCCCACCTGGCCGCCGTATGGGCCATGCTGGAGCCATCATCGCTGGCGGAAAGGGTGGCGCGAAAGAGAAGATCGCCGCATTACAGGCGGCCGGCGTCGCGGTGAGCATGTCTCCTGCACAGCTTGGCAACACCATGTACAAGGTGAGATATTTTCAGATGTGTAGAAAATGCAAACATGCATTTTTAGTATTTCTTTGGTTCTTTCGGTAAAGTCACATAGAACGAGAATAAAATAATAAAATGAAAATAAGACGATAAAATTCTCACGACGTTTCGGCCACAACACAAGCGGGCCTTCTTCAGGTGAAAGAACAGAACTGTCGGGACGACGAAGCACTTCTTTCACCTGAAGAAGGCCGCTTGTGTTGTGGCCGAAACGTCGTGAGAATTTTATCGTCTTATTTTCATTTTATTTTATTCTCATTTTACGTGACTTTACCGAAAGAACCAAAGAAGATGATTCCCTGCAGTCACGAAAGCTTTAAATCGAAATGCATTTTAATATTCGTGCAAAGGCTCATGTCACAAATGAAAACATGCGGATGCAAGTAGACATTGCAAATGATGACATGACAAAACAATGCGTAGTAAATGTTCGTGCTGTTTGTATGTGTTTTTCAGGAGTTTGAGAAGAGGAAGATGGTATGAATTCCAAAGAGGTGTTAGGGTGCTCTCCAGATGTGTAATCACGACCGTTCATATTATGTCGACAATACAACATGTTAATTACAGTTGAAACTATATTTGTAGATGCCATGTCTTAATCCAAGCAAATAAACATCCAAATGGTTATGCGGTGTTTCTATTCTTCAATCTCCACCCCCCCACCACCCTTTCACAAATCGTTCATTCACATGTTTACATGATTAAGATGAGCTCTGTTCTTAAACCCATTTGTCGTGTGTTGTCGGAATGTGTGCGACGAGGAGGTATTATGAACAGCAGGGGGCAGATTGCTGCCACAAATACTTGAGTTGTGAAATATTTTTCTAAAAAAATGTAATGAAGGAAAGGTTATTTTGTTCATGACTGTCTTTCACCATTCTTACAATTTAGCGAGTTAAAAAAAATGTAACATGCAAATGCTTGAGTGGTTAGTTTTTGTTTTCAATGTAAAGCTTATTGGAGTAATTGTATCGCAAAAATGTATAACTTTCAGCAAGTATTTTCACATGCAATATAATTAAGATTTTTTCAGGCCATAAACGGTCAAAAACAGGAACAAGAAATTTGCAAATATCACCCAAATTAATTCAATCATCTTCTTTGGTTCTTTCGGTAAGGTCACGTAGAATGAGAATAAAATAATAAAATAACACAATGAAATTCTCACGACGTTTCGGCCACAACGCAAGCGGCCGTTGTGGCCGAAACGTCGTGAGAATTGTATTGTGTTATTTTATTCTCATAGTACGTGACCTTACCGAAAGAACCAAAGAAGATGAATCCTTGCAGTCACGAAAGCTTTAAATCGAAATTTAATACAATCAATTATTGTTTTCTCATGAGTAGTTAATAAACTTGAAATTTTAATATTTTATCACCAGAGAAAAAAAGTTTTTTAAAGTACAAAAAATGTCCTTGTGATATTTTTTGCGTGCTTGAATACATTGCAATATTTTCTCTTTTAATCAAACTTTAAACTAATGTTTTCTGAACATGCGATTTTGTATTCAAATGAAAAAGGACACAATAGCTATTATTTTTTCATGTACACCTTTTGCTTTTAGCTTGCACAAATACGTCAATGTACTTGTATTCAAATTGAAGATTAGAAACTAAGACCATTTTGCTAAATATATATTTTTAAAACCCCTTTTTGTATCATACCTTTGTCCACAAGGTGGCAATATCAAACCACAAACATGCAGTTCAGTCACTTCTTGAGAGGAGCAGAGGATCCATTTGCCAATGGTAATACAAGTCCATTGCAAAATGGCTTCAGTTTAATTATGCCGAGTGCATATAGACTTGACAAATAGCACACTGTAAATGTACGTATTTTTAAGGAAATCAATTGAGCAAAAATATGTTTCTATAACCCAGGAAAAACCGCACTGACTGCTCGAATTTCAGGATTCTCCAGATTAGGATGTAAACCCTTCAATGTATTTAACTAAAGGAGAAAACAGTAATTGAGAAAAAAAGCACACGAAGAGATAACTACGCAGATTAGGATGTAAACCCTTCAATGTGTTTAACTAAAGGAGAAAACAGTAATTGAGAAAAAAAGCACACGAAGAGATAACTACGCAGGTGGGTAAAAAAAACACTTTACTGACTCGTACATCTTGTGTAACTAGGTGACTCAATGCGTGATCTACCAGGCCTCTATACAATTGAGATAACTGCATCCATGTTGTGGGTCGTGGCGGCAGCATGTTGAGGAGGGTGGTCCAGACTTCCCTTTCCCTGGTGACAAACTGGCTCTTCCTGGGGAATTTCCAGGACAGCTGAGCGACATAGTCCCGCCAGCGTGTCCTGGACCGGCCCCGAAGTCTGCCCAGTGTGACATGCCCAGTCGAGTTCCAGGGGGAGTCAACCGGGGGGCATCCTTATCAGGTTGGCGAGCCACCTCAACTGGTGCTTCTCGATCCAGAGGAGCAGCGACTCGACTTTGAGGCTCTCCCGGATTTCCGAGCTCCTCACCCGATCACGGAGAGTGAGCCCGGCAAACCTGGGGAGAAACCTCATTTAGGCTTTTTTTTACCCGCGATCCCATCCTTTTGGTCATTCCCCAAAGCTCATGACCATAGGTGAGAGTAGTAGTGTAGATCGACCTGTAAACCGCGAGGTTTGTTTGAATACTCAGCTACTGCTCCACGACCACGGTACAATGCCCGCAACACTGCTGACCAATCTCCCGCTCCCACTTACCATCACTCGCGAAACATACACCGAGGTACTTAAACTCCTCCACTAAGGGCAGCTGTCCCCCCCCCCCCTCACCTGGAGAGAACCATGACCTCATATTTGGAGGTGCTGATCCTCATTTCAGCCGCTTCACAAACCGTTCAAGTGCATGCTGGAGATCGCAAGACTGACAAGGCAGAGGACAACGTCATTTGCAAAAAGCAGCAATGCCACCTTCATGCTCCGGTACCGGATACTCTCCATACCTCGGCTGCGCCTTGATATCCTGTCCATGAAAATCATAAACAGGAGTGGTGACATGATGCGCCCTTGGCAGAGTCCAACACCCGCAGTGAACAACTTTGATTTCACACTAAGAATACGGGCACAGCTCTCACTCCAGGAATAGAGGGACCTGATAGTGCACAAAAACGGCACCGGTACACCATACTCCCACAGCACCTCTCACAAGACATTGTGGGGAAATGCTTTCTCCAAGTATATAAAGCAGAGGTAGACTGGAGAAGTATACTCCCAAGACTCTCAAATATCTGTGAGAGGGAAAAGAGCTGGTCCATTGTTTTACGAATATGAGGCTTGACCACCGGGCGGAGCCTCCTCTCCAGCGCTCTGGCATAGGCTTTACCTTGGACGCTGTTGAGTGTGATTCCTCTGTAGTTGGAGCACACCCTCTGGTCCCCTTTTTAAAAATGAGAACCACAACCCCAGTTTGCCAATCCAGCGGTACTGTAGCTGCCTTCCATGCATACATTTTTCAGTTAATATAAATTCTTAGATTCATAAATACATGCAATGAATTCGGTGTATACATACCCATGTTTTTAAATTCCTACTTGTAATGGATACCTTGAGCTGTGACAATTCAATGAATTGCCGGGGGATTAATTGTTGCACGCCTAATGTAAATGTTCCCCATGTCCACAGATGTAAACTTGGCACTGTCAAAACTTGACTTAAAATATTTTTTGACACAAGACTGAGCCATCACAAGTGTTATGAATAATTGCCAATCAAACAATATTCTACCACACAAATAGCCTCTGGTAGTTTCATTGTTATAAGCATTAAAATGGAATAAAGCAGTGAACAAGTTGCAGCTCTGCTAGAAAACAAAGCTGATACACACATTTTCAGAATGCTTAAACAAAAATAGACAAAGAAACGGTGTACTTTGTATCAGTCAGTTCTCGTCAGATACTCCTTTTATTTGAAAAAATATAAGATACTTTGACATTTATAAGAAGATGTGGGCTCCATGACCGATCCATTATGAAATATCTTATACTAATAAATACCACTGCCTAAACTGTTGTAGTACAAATACTCTTCATTATTTCCCATATGACATATCCCGAGCAAAGCAAAGTCAAGGTGGAATAAATGTTAAGTGGCATAAGTGTTCCTGAATTTTGATGAAAGTCTTGTATGCACATATAATTCAGGAAAAATACATCTTGGAGTTTCATGTACAGTGAGGGGAAAAAGTATTTGATCCCCTGCTGATTTTGTACGTTTGCCCACTGACAAATAAATGATCAGTCTATAATTTTAATGGTAGGTTTATTTGAACAGTGAGAGACAGAATAACAACAACAAAATCCAGAAAAAAACGCATGTCACAAATGTTATAAATTGATTTGCATTTTAATGAGAGAAATAAGTATTTGACCCCTCTGAAAAACATGACTTAGTACTTGGTGGCAAAACCCTTGTTGGCAATCACAGAGGTCAGACGTTTCTTGTAGTTGGCCACCAGGTTTGCACACATCTCAGGAGGGATTTTGTCCCACTCTTCTTTGCAGATCTTCTCCAAGTCATTAAGGTTTCGAAGCTGACGTTTGGCAACTCGAACCTTCAGCTCCCTCCACAGATTTTCTTAGGGATTAAGGTCTGGAGACTGGCTAGGCTACTCCAGGACCTTAATGTGCTTCTTCTTGAGCCACTCCTTTGTTGCCTTGCCCGTGTGTTTTGGGTCATTGTCATGCTGGAATACCCATCCACGACCCATTTTCGATGCCCTGGCTGAGGGAAGGAGGTTCTCACCCAAGATTTGACGGTACATGGCCCCGTCCATCGTCCCTTTGATGCGGTGAAGTTGTCCTGTCCCCTTAGCAGAAAAACACCCCCAAAGCATAATGTTTCCACCTCCATGTTTGACGGTGGGGATGGTGTTCTTGGGGTCATTGGCAGCATTCCTCCTCCTCCAAACACGGCGAGTTGAGTTGATGCCAAAGAGCTCCATTTTGGTCTCATCTGACCACAACAATTTCACCCAGTTGTCCTCTGAATCATTCAGATGTTCATTGGCAAACTTCAGACGGTCATGTATATGTGATTTCTTGAGCAGGGGGACCTTGCGGGTGCTGCAGGATTTCAGTCCACGGCGTAGTGTGTTACCAATTGTTTTCTTGGTGACTATGGTCCCAGCTGCCTTGAGATCATTGACAAGATCCTCCCATGTAGTTCTGGACTGATTCCTCACCGTTCTCTTGCATGGAGCCCCAGGCCGAGGGAGATTGACAGTTCTTTTTTGTTTCTTTCATTTGCGAATAATCGCACCAACTGTTGTCACCTTCTCACCAAGCTGCTTGGCAATGGTCTTGTAGCCCATTCCAGCCTTTCTTTGTCAGTGAGCAAACGTACAAAATCAGCAGGGGATCAAATACTTTTTTCCCTCACTGTACGTAGACAAACCAGGCAAGCACCCACACTGCATCGCTCAGCCAATGAAATAACACCACGAATAATTCAGAGGCACTTCATACGGCAGTTTGGAACCAGTCACGAATACACTGGCCAGTGCTGAAAATTCCTCCATTTGATCAACAACCACCCTGCTTGTACATGCAGTCTTAACGGCAAGGCCAACAATCAACTGGAAAAGGTTTTTGTTTTGTCATTAGCCATTATCCATAAAC